ACTCCCCATACACGCACATTCACATACACATACACTCATGCACACCCACACACATAAACATACAGCTATACACACACATACACTAATACACACCACACCCACACACTCCCCATACACACACATTCACATACACACATACACACACAGTACACATTCACATACACACCCACACACATAAACACACACACAGCCACACACACACATACACTCATACACACCCACACACATACACACATTGATATACGTACACACATTACACATTCACATACACACACTCATATACACCCACACACATATACGCACACACCCCATACACCCATTTACATACACACACATTCATACACACACGTATACACACCCCATACACACATTTACATACACACACATATATACCCACATTCACATTTGCACACACACACACTGCCACCAGGGCTCCTTAAATAACAAAAACAAGTTCACTGCCACGACTGGATCCCGCCCCATGGCGACCCTGTGGGGCCGAGTGGAATGGCTCTGTGGGTTTCTGAGACTGTCCCTCTTTGGGGGAGTAGAAAGTCCCGTCTTGCTCCCATGGAACAGCTGGTGGTTTTGAACCGCTGACCTTGCGGATCGCAGCCCAAGGCATAACCACTACGACACCAGGGCTCCTGCTGTTACGTTTGTTTTTCTGCAAAACAAGGCTTGAGCAGACCCCATCTCAACCCACAGCACACTTCCAATATTGATGAACGGCAGGCTGGCTCTGTCCCCCATCACCTGGGCTCCCTCCGCATGTCCACACACCCAACCACCTTGTTCTGTTTCTTCCTCTTCTCCCCTTGAATTCTCACAAGCCACTGGAAGCCCACCCCAACCCCACCCCACAAATACAGCAAACAAGTGACGTATACAACAACTTCAATAAACGAGCCTCAGTTCTACAAATGATCTGTGAATGCGTTCAAACTGTAGTGGCAAACTGAGTTGCATCCTGACAGAGACGGAATTGTCATTCCAGACTCCCTCCTGTCGGAGCAGGGATTACTGGGAGCGGAGGACATAGCCTACAGACTGTCACTGAAAACTGTCCCTGTCTGTCCTCTCCTAAAGCGGTGAGCCCAGGAGAGACTGGGAGGTTCCTGACCGCGGCCTGCCGGCCTGTGGAGAGACCGAGGAGTCTGGCGCTTTGGGAACGCCCTGGGAGGGGCCGGCGGGTGCCACACGCAGAATGGAAGACGAGACTGTGGAGGAGAGATGTGAGCTATTCTCAGATGAGGCAGCTCCACACAGTGCTGCCCAGGAGCCCCCGGGACCCCATCGCCCCATCCCAATGCAGAGAAACTCCATCTTCAAGCGCGCCCTGAGACGCCGAAGCCAAACCCAGAGCCGAGGCACCCCCGGCCAGAACACCAGCAACCCTGAGGCAGGTCAGTACGGAGGGCAGCTGTCAGGCTGCGCCTCTAGGTCTCCTGGAGTCCCCAGGGCTGGATATGTCCCACCGGGTGCTGGTGAAGAGACTAGGAAGCATGGGTGTCTGAGGACCCCCATGTTCTCTATGGATTCTGGCCGCTTCGGGGGAAATAGAACACCAGGCCTTTCTTGCAAGGCACTTCTTAGTGTCCTGGAACCACCAGCCTCTCCGTTAGCAGCTGAGGGTGTTCACTGAAAGACCCTAATTAAGTGAAAGGATATGAAGAGGCGTTGGGTGGGAAACATCAAGGGACAATTCCTGAGGGGTGGGACACGTTGAAGCTATTGTTAAAAGAATTCAGATCCCCCCCCAAACGATCATGTGGGTACCACTGGGGGAAGCGGCGACCCCCAACCACACCATCGGACTGGTCTCCTTGATAAAAAGAGGCCTTCTCACCCCACGACCCATGAAACACCGTGAGACACGTGAG